CGTAAATCAGTTATCCGGACAACCCCAGTCCCCAACATTCGGAAAATCGACGCTCTACTGTATATTTGAATATCTTATTAAAAGTAAAGCCTATGATCATAAAGAAATGCTTAATTAATTATAGGAGTCTTGACTCTCATATTTATTGTTCAAGTGGTAAAGTAGGAAAAATTTTAATTAATTAATAAATTGTCACAAAACACTTGTGTCCTTAAGACAAATGTGGAGCAATCACAAATCCTATCTGCAAGTAATCATTCTGTATGAACTTGTGTGCCTAATGATGGCAAAGTTATTTATCTAGCTGGATATACAGTACGTGCATGGCTGGTTACACATTCTTTTCTTAAATTATCATGATGTGGAAATGAATGTAATTGGAACAGTTGAATACATGGATAATCTTGATGCATCATGTTTTCGTGTACATCACATACAGCTTTAAACCACTTATAAAGAACTCCCTGGTTATTATGGCAGCCAACCACTGCACAATATCTACCTGAATTAGTTTTATAAGGCATGTCACCAATGAAAAACTAAAAATTGCAGACAAACAACTAGAAGTATCTTAATGGCTGCCAAGGCATATACCCTTCTGTGGCAGAATTCAAGAATACAAAAATTCTGGAAACTTGTGGATTAAAGAATATTTTTCATGATTTTCAATTATGTAAAGTGTTGTACAATCTTTTCAAACAGAAATATATTGTATGTGCAAACTTACAAATGAAATAATAAAAGATAAAAATATTAATAAGAAAATCAGTGTAAAAAAATAAAATTAAACTAACACGAATCACATCTGTTATGAAACCTTGATCTTTTGGAGATTCCTCTTCTTTTGCTTCTAGTCTTTCAAGTTTTTTCTCTAACCGGGATTTTTCTGCTTCTACTGATTTTAATTTTTGCTGTAGTTTTAATATAAGAGAAATATCTTCTGGTTCTTTCCTTATTTCATTATAACTCTATAATGAAAAATCTTAATTAATTTTATGGCAAAATATAAGTGTTTTAATTCTAAATTTACATTAATAAATATAAATAATAAAGAAAATCAAGTCTTTACCTTTTTTTCATCATTATCAAGAATGTTTTCTTTATTTGAGACTATTTGTTCCCATTTAATATCATCCAATTTAATGTAATTTGAATTTGTTTCTTTACTTCTAACAGAACCATATCCAATGTCCTAACATAAAATTAGAATTATTTATTTATAATTGTAAATTACTAAAAGATATAATAAAAATATTATTAATGTAAATGATTTTTTTAATAAACAATGACTCTATATCAAATACAATGAAATTAAAATAATTATAAATGAAAATTTAGTGTAATTGCATAAATATACAGAATTTTAACATCTAAATTAAATAAATAAATATTTTATTGAATTATATATCAACCATTTTGGTCAAATACCTGTTGTCATCGTTTCTGGTAGTAGCATGATTTCACATTCATAAAAGTTTTGATTGTTGATTACAAAAAACTGATCCAAGTGATTTTTGACATTGTCATTTCAAGTAGATGTCTTACAATTAAAAAAAATTTGTATAGACCAGAACAAGTAATAATCTGAGTGTGCTTGATCTGGCAAATATGGTTGATGTGATAGTACATCCCATCTAAGTTATAACAGTTTCTGATGAGTTACCAAACTTGGTAACTCATCAGACATTGCTTTGATATTTATCAAAGCAATGTCATTAGTATTAATGTTTAATTTATGTTGTACTACAATGTGCTAAAGTGATAATTAAAATTATCAAAAATTCATAGAAAATAATAAGATTACATTATTCATTTTATTTATTAATTTATTTTTCTTCAAACTAGCTAATAATATATATTTATTTTTCTTCAAAAGTAAATGATATAAAAGCAGTTATTAAAAAGAAATGAACTAAATATTTGATATTATTTAATATCATACTTTTTGTCAGTATTTCAATATTATTTGACTGCTCGGAAAGTAAATTCATTTTTTTTACCACTAGACGGATTAGTCATATTTTTCCCGCCATTTTCATTCTAAACCGTATTATCATTATATATTTTGACAGCTAGCATTTTAAGGTTTATTTGTAAAAAATTTTGTTTGATTTTGTGCAATTGTTTATTTTTTGTGTCCCATCAAATATAGAAGATCGAAAGCAGCATTTTCGGCATATTTTGCTCTTTTATTACCAACAAATCAAAATGCTGTTCAAGCAAGAAAAAATTGTGACGTGTATGGAGAAAATGTATTGACAGAACGACAGTGCCAAAACTGGTTTACAAAATTTTGTTCTGGCAATTTCAATATTGAAGATGCACCACATTCTGGATGGCCAGTTGAAGCCAATGAAAACAAAATAAAGGTACTGATTGAAGCAAACTGCAGAATAACAACACGTGAAATCACTAAGAGATTAAATTTGTCAAATTGAATCGTTTATGATTACTTGAAACAAATTGGTGTTGTTTCAAAGCTTGATATACAAGTTCCACATGTTTTTAAGGAAAGATGCTATCTTTGGTGGGATTTTAAGGAAATTTTTTTTGAAGCTTTTACCAGACAATTTAACAGTTGATTCGAAAGTGTACTGCCATCGAGTAAACAAATTAAGTAATATCATTAAACAGAAAATGCAGCCAGAATTGATCAACAAAACAGGTTTAGTGTTTTACCACGATAATGTCAAATTTCACACAAGTTTGGTAACTCATCAGAAACTGTTATAACTTAGATGGGATGTACTATCACATCAACCATATTTGCCAGATCAAGCACACTCAGATTATTACTTGTTCTGGTCTATACAAATTTTTTTTAATTGTAAGACATCTACTTGAAATGACAATGTCAAAAATCACTTGGATCAGTTTTTTGTAATCAACAATCAAAACTTTTATGAATGTGAAATCATGCTACTACCAGAAACGACGACAACAGGTATTTGACCAAAATTGTTGATATATAATTCAATAAAATATTTATTTATTATAAAAATATTGTTTTTTTTTCCATGGAAAAAAGAATCTACAAGAA